GCCCTGAAAATCACTGCTCTGTACAATTGCCTAGCACAGAGTCTGCCTCATACATAGTACGTTGTCAAAAAAGGGCCATTAACATTACTACTATTATTCTAACTATTACCATCATCATGATTGAAAGAGCTTAGTCCAGTACAGGTATAGAGTGTTTATAATTAAAAGAGCAGGTAGGGCTGTGCCTGTGGCTCAAGGAGTAGGGCACCAGCCCCATATACCGGAGGTGGTGGGTTCAAATCCAGCCCTGCCCCCCCCAAAAAGGAGCAGCTAGCATATGACTTGGCACACAGTAGGTCATCACAAATACTGTAATTGTTGCTGCTGTTTTTATTATGCAAAGCACTTAACAGCAGAGTCTGACACGTAGTAGCTACTCATAAAAATTAATATTTTGACATGAGACATCTAGTCAAGGGCCGAATTCATCATCTTTTAACACATGTAACATTTCTTGAGCTCCTACTGTGTGCCAAATACTGTTGTAGGTGCTGGGATACGAGGGGCAGCGGAACAAACATCACTGCCCATGTGGAGTGTCTTTTCTATTGTTAGTAGGGAGAGAGACAAGAAATGTAAATAAATTAGGGATGTAGGCTGTTAGGTGGTGAGAGGGCCATGGATAAAAGCACAGGTTGAGATGAGCTCGAGCATGTCAGCAGTGGGAAGAGAGGGCACAGAGAGATTGCACTTTTCAACTAAGTAGGGTCAGATGGGTCTTACACTGGACAAAGATTTGAGGGAGGAGAAAAGTGAGCGAGCTATGTAGGATCTAGGAGAAGAGCACTTGAGGAAGAGGGTCACCAGGTGCAAAGGCTGGGAGGTGCCTGGTATGTTCATGGAAAAGATGAGCAGAACTGCAGCCAGCGGGGAAGGGGGAGGTGACAAGATCAGAGAGGTGAGGGCTGGGCTAATGATGGAGCCCCTTAGTGACTAGTGAAGGACTCTAGCTTTTCCTGGGTGACATTCAGAGGTTGAAGGGTCCTGAGCAGAGGAGCAGTGTGACTTGGTACGTGTGAGGACAGCAGCATCTGGTGGCCGTGTTAAACGCAGACAGTAGGGAAAAAGGGAGGAAGACAATGTCACAGAGCAGGCACGGAGGACGGTGGCTGGACTCGCTGGACCGAGAGGGAGCGGGAAGGTGGTAGCTACTCAATGGGCACATTTTGCAGGGTGAGATTTGCCGATGGATCCAATGTGGCATGCGTGAGAGAAGAACCAAGGATGATGCCAGAGCTTTCGTCCTGAGTAACTAGAGGATGGATTCGCCATCAGCCGAGATGGGCAAGGGCGGGGGTGGAACAGGCTCAGAGGAGAGCAGGAGCCCAGCTGTGGATGTGTGAAGTTCGAGATGTCAGATAGGCAGCGGCAAACATGAGCCTGAAGTTCAGCGGAGAGGGCCAGGCCCGCTCTATCCACCGGGAGCTGTTGGCCTGGGCTGGATGAGATCATCTAGGGAGGGACAGTAGATGGAGAAGAGATAAGGACCCAAGCTGGGTCCTCCAAGTTTAAGAGGTCATAGAGAAGAGAAGAAACCAGTAAAGGAGATGGAATGAATATTCAGTGAGCTGGGAAGAAACAAGAGTGTGGGGGCCTGGAGGCAGAGAGAAGAAGTGTGGCTTGTGGATAGCCTATGCTGGTGGTGAGGAGGAACGTGCTCAGGGACACACAGTAGGTGCTCATTAAATGTTGCTGATGATGGCGATGATTATGATGTCAGTCCCCCCTAGCCCACGGCTGTTTCTCACTAAATGCTACTGTGCTGGTGACCCTGGTGTACATCAGTGGGGCCAGGGCATGGGACATATTAGGTGCTCAAAATCATGAGGTAAGGCACCTAGCTTAGGGCTCTGCACACAGTAGGTTCTTTCTTTCTTTTTTTTGAGACCAAGTCTCATTATGCCACTCTCAATAGAGTGCTGCCATGTCACAGCTCACAACAACCCCCAACTCTTGGGCTTAAGCGATTCTTTTTCCTCAGCCTCCCAAATAGCTGGGGGCTACAAGCACTTACCACAATGCCTGGCTATTTTTTTTGTTGTTGCAGTTGTTATTGTTTAGCAGGCCTGGGCTGGGTTGGAACCACCAGCCCTGGTGTATGTGGCTGGTGCCACAGCCGCTGAGATATAGGCATGAAGCCAGTAGGTTCTTATGGTAGGTTGCTACCTTCTGACCACGATGATGGTGTAAACCACCTCGCCCTGGGTGTAGCTGGCCTTAGGTGCTCCCCCAATATCACCAGGACAAGGGCGCCTCGCTAAATGGCAGCGGCCCTCCCCTCTCCTCTGGCAGATCACCTACAGCGCCATCAGCGACCAGCTGCGGGACAAGCGGCGCTTCCCGGCCTTGCTGCGCACGATGTCCGGCGCCAAACATCACGTCGAGGCCATCGTGAAGCTGATGGTGCACTACGGTTGGAACTGGATCATCGTGCTGGTGAGCAACGACGAGTACGGCCGCGACAACAGCCAGCTGCTCACCGAGCGCCTGAGCGGCCGCGACATCTGCATCGCCTTCCAGGAGCTGCTGCCCACGCCGCAGAACAACCAGGAGGAGACGCTGGAGGAGCATCAGCGCCTGGGGGCCATCGTGGACAAGCTGCAGCAGAGCACCGCGCGCGTCGTGGTGGTGTTCTCCCCGGACCTGGTCCTGCACAACTTCTTCCAGGAGGTGCTGCGCCGGAATTTCACGGGCGCCGTCTGGATAGCCTCCGAGTCCTGGGCCATCGACCCGGTCCTGCACAACTTCACGGAGCTGCACCGCATCGGCACGTTCCTGGGAATCACCACCCAGAGCGTGCCCATCCCGGGCTTCAGCGAGTTCCGCGTGCGCCGCTGGCAGGCCGGCCTGCCACACAGCAGCAGGCCCAGCCAGGAGGGCACCTGCAACCAGGAGTGTGACACTTGCTTCAACACCACAGAGTCCTTCAACACCATCCTTACTCTCTCGGGGGAGCGCGTTGTCTACGGCGTGTACTCAGCTGTCTACGCGGTGGCCCATGCTCTGCACAGCCTCCTGCGCTGCGACCAGACCGGGTGCTCCAACAGGACGGTCTACCCCTGGCAGGTGAGGTCTGGCCAGGGCGAAGCCAGCGCAGCAGCGGTTGCCGTGGAGACCGCAGGCACCTCCCACCCCAGCTCTACGCTAGCCTGAGCCTCCCTTCGCGGGTTCTAGGCACACGGCAGAGGCCCTGGGGCGTCCTCTTTCTCCAGACTCCTAGCACCAGAAGTTCTTCCTGGTGCCAAAACAAAATTCCTTTTTAAATTAACTTAACCTTCACCATCGTCCCCAGGGATTCAGGGAGAATTCCCTGGAAGGGAGTCCTGAGGCAGCGCGAGTCCCAGCGCCCCCTACAGCATATCCAGGGTTGAGGGCCTTGGGATGGGCTCGCGTTTCACATGGGCACTCTGAGGCCCTAGATCAGGTTCACTGATCTTCTCTTGGTTCTGTGTCACCTTGGCTCTAACCTAGAATTCAAGTCTGTGTTTTCCTTCCTCCTTCCTTCCTTCCCTCCCTCCCTCCCTCCCTTCCTTCCTTCCTTTCCAGTTTTCGGCCAGGGCTAGGTTTGAACCCGCCACCTCCGGCATATGGGGCTGGCACCCTACTCCTTTGAGCCACAGGCACCACCCTGTTTTCCTCTTTCTTTAGAGATAGAGTCTTGCTCCGTCACCCAGGCTGGACTGCAGAGGCATAATCATAGCTCACTGCAGTCTCAAGCTCCTGGACTCCAGAGATTTTCCTGGTTCAGCCTTGGAAGTAGCTGGAACTATAGGTGTACACTACCGCCCCTGGCCAAACCTGTGTTTTTCTGATTTAATGTACACACAGACACACACACTGTGAAGCCTTTGGCGGTTTAGAAGGTTTTACTGAGGATAAGAGGGATTGACATTAGGGATGTACACTTTATACTTTGCTATCAGGCATCTCTGTTCTTAAATAGTTCCTTAATTTTTCACAGTTTGGGGCCAGCCTCCCACCCTTCTGCTCAACCACATCTCCAAACCCTGCCCATCTTCCCTCTTGATTCTCCAGTTCCCCCCCTTTTTCTAGATCTCTCTGTCTTCCCAATAACTGTTCACTGCCTTAACAGAGCAATTTAGTCAGTTCTTAAAAAATTCTTGCTCTCTCTCATTTTATTTTAACTGTATTTCTTTATTTCATAAGTGGGGGAAATGGAATCCCACTGTCAGAATCCCAAGGACCCTTCAGCCAACCAGCCTGCCCTAGAGCCAGGACTACGGCCTGGTTCATTTGCTGCCTACTTGCCATCCACACTAGCTCTTCACCACACCCCTCTCTTCACCTCTGTGCACCCTCAGGCTTTTCAGGTGTGGCCCACCTATTTGTACATTGGAAGGCTGGTGGTGGTGAACTGGGCAGAGCTTTGCAATCAGACAGACCTGGATTAAAATCCCAGCTCTGCCACTACCAGCTGTGCAAACT